ACACAGTGAAACGACATGCAGTTGGACAGATGCAGTAAAGTGACATGCAGTTGGACAGATGCAGTGAAATGACATGCAGTTGGACAGATGCAGTGAAATGACATGCAGTTGGACAGATGCAGTGAAATGACATGCAGTTGGACAGATGCAGTGAAATGACATGCAGTTGGACAGATGCAATAAAATGACATGCAGTTGGACAGATGCAGTGAAATGACATGCAGTTGGACAGATGCAGTAAAGTGACATGCAGTTGGACAGATGCAGTGAAATGACATGCAGTTGGACAGATGCAGTAAAGTGACATGCAGTTGGACAGATGCAGTGAAATGACACACAGCTGGACAAATGCAGTTGTACAGATGCAATGAAATGACATGCAGTTGGACAGATGCAGTAAATTGACATGCAGTTGGACAGATGCAGTAAAGTGACATGCAGTTGGACAGATGCAGTGAAACGACATGCAGTTGGACAGATGCAGTAAAGTGACATGCAGTTGGACAGATGCAGTAAATTGACATGCAGTTGGACAGATGCAGTAAAGTGACATGCAGTTGGACAGATGCAGTAAAGTGACATGCAGTTGGACAGATGCAGTGAAAAGTTGATCAGTTGCCGTGAGTTGAGATTTTGTTTTTAGTTGTTTTTTTAATCTGGAACTGAACTTTTACAAGTTTTTTAAATTTTACAACAAACTCAATAATGTAAATCTAGTACYTGTTTGTATGAGTGTTTTTTAAGTTTGATAATGCAGTGTTTATTTCTTGAACTTGTCTTCCAAGCCACAAGTAATTATTTCCTATTTACAACAAGAGCTACGTTGGTGTCATGGTGCGTGGAGGTTTGTGTTACCAAGCAGAGCTGAGTGTAGGTGGGATTCAGGGCCACATGAAAATCATTAAATGGACAACACACTCTCATCAACAAGTCAGACAGGAGGAGAGGAGAGAGAATTATCTTCCTCATAGGTAAACTCTACCTTTAGTTCAATCTGTTGCTTTCTGTCTCTGAGAGTGGATCTGTTTGTCTTTTACAGAGCTCTTCTTTGGATGGAGAACCAATCARTGGTCACTCCTCTCAAACAGCCGATTGTTTTTGAACTGGAGGGTTTCAGTGTTCCTCCAGGATACGAGCCTTTCCTGTTCTTCCTGGCTCTTTTTGCATTAATGGTTGTCTTACTGGGAAATGGGGGTGTTGTTTGTGTCATTGTGATGGACAGAAACCTGCACAGACCCATGTTTTTAATGATCTGTCACCTGATGGTTTGTGACCTGTTGGGGCCTACAGCGGTGCTCTCTAGTCTCATGGTGCAGTTCCTGATGGAGAAGAAAATCTCCTACGCCCCGGCCATCACCCAGGGTTTCTGTGTGCACACGTATGGGGCTGCAGTACAGACAATTCTGAGTGCAATGGCCTATGACAGGTGAGAAAATACAGGTTCKGTTTCTTTGTAGTTTAGTRGTAAAAACACACAGATACTGCTTTTTGTGTTTCCAAAGWTAAAACTGTTTGTTCCTCTCCACTATCCCAGACACTTGGTGGTGTTCCATGTGTGCTTTACCTGACTGACGTGTAAACAGTGAATCAGTGAATAGTTTATTTCCTCTGCTCAGGTTTGTTGCAGTGTGTGAACCTCTCAGGTATCACTCCATCATGACMTCAGCTCGGCTCCACTCCTGCTGCGCTCTGGCCTGGATCGTGGCCCTGGTGCTCATCGCCGTGCTCTTCTCCTTCCACATGAACGTCCCTCTGTGTGGTCAGACCATCAAACATGTCTACTGCAGCAACCGAGGCATCTTAGACCTGGCCTGCATCCCAACCCCCGCAAACAACATCTACGGTCAGAACTCTTACTGAAAGATAAGAGATTTTTAGCCTCCATGAGCAAAAAGCTGCAACTGCTTTAGTTTAAAAATGCAGTTGGTTTTATTGTTCAGTATTCAGGACATGGTCAGTTTTAAGAGTTTTTAAAATGTATTTTTTAAATGTTTCTACAGCTGTTTAATTTCTTACTTGAGGAGCTTTTTTGATGAATTGTTTTATTTTATTTTATTTTATTTTTGGATATTTTTGTTTAAGAAAAAAAATGAAGAAAGAATTTTGCATAAAACTAAATCCACCAACGTCAACCAGAGGAGATTTTGGTTTCAYCTGTTTGAGTGTTTTTTTCTGTAAACGTTTGCGAATCAAGTTTTGATTCCTTGCTTGGTTTTAAATGTAGATGAAAATGATCCAATATGACTGAAAAGTTAAAGATAAAAGAAAGTAGTTGTGTAAAAGTCCTAGTCTTTTCTGTGATGTCTCGTAAAATCTCCTTTAAAACATGAAATCCTCAGTTGAGAAGAACAAGGATGAGCCAGCCCTAATTTTAACTCACCTGCCTTTTTATGTTCTGCAGGTCTGGTTATGACCTGGTCTATCAGTTCTGTGACCTTCATCCTCATCGCTTTCTCCTACATCAGGATCCTGAGAGCTTCTTTGAAACAAGGCSGAGCTGACAGCAGCGTCCGCAGCAAAGCCTTTCAGACCTGTGCTCCTCACATCGTGGTCTACGTGCTCTTTGAGATCGCAATGTTAATTGTTGTTGTGAGTTACAGGTTCCCCTCTCTGTCCCAGAATATTAAGAAGTTCTTTGGTATCCTCTTCATCATCATCCCTCCAGCTATCAACCCCATCATCTACGGCCTGGTCAGCAAAGACTTACGGAGCAGCATCGTCAAGCGTTTTTCTGTTCGGGTCCATCCCAAAAACTGAAGTTCTCATAAACAGAACCGTTCAGAACTGAGACCAGATTCTCTGAACTTTTCTTACACCATTGAGTAGGAACCAGAGTCCAGACCTACAAAGTGTTAGTCCTCAAACTTGTCCTTAAGCAGCACCATCAGTCTGCACTAACCTCACCTGAAAACATGTTCGCCCCATCACATCCGACCTGTCTGTGTTAATCACTGACTTAATAATATGAACAGGATCAGTGAGAACAGGCAGCCCCAGTGAAGTCCAGTTCTCCTCTGAAGAGGTCTGACTTACTGCTCGCATTGAGAACCAGACTTTCAGATCATTTGWACAGGAACTGAAGGACTCTTAGRGGCAAAGCTCCAATCCAGTCCATTCAGAGAGCAGTGGTGGAGCCAGACATTTTTCCCAGGTGTGGCCAGACTGGGACCACCACTCACACAGGGGTGACCAGACTGGGACCACCACTCACACAGGGGTGACCAGACTGGGACCACCACTCACACAGGGGTGGCCAGACTGGGACCACCACTCACACAGGGGTGGCCAGACTGGGACCACCACTCACACAGGGGTGGCCAGGAACATTACATCATTTTTTACTTGAAATTTTCTGCAAATATTTTGTGTTTTCATCATTTCCTCATGTCCTCATACAGGCAGTGACTGCCTTATAAACATGGGCGTCAGAACCATTTTGAAAGTTGGGGGACACGTTGGGGGTCTGGTGGTCCACCCCCAGAAAATTTTGAATGAAATAAATGTCATTTCCTGCATTCTGGTGTATTTTAACAGGCTATTAAACATAATTTTACCTACATAAATTAACACTTGATTTAATTATTATTTCAGAAACAGATTCTTCATTAAACTAGTTCCATCATCCTGTTTTTAAACTCACTGCTACAGCTGAGATAAGATTAATGTGACACAATTTATCTTATACAATGGCTTCAGGGGTGCTTTTTACTTTTATATTGCTCCAGCATAAATCAGATTATATAGGCATATGTTCTATAAAGAAAACCATCACTTCCTTGTCATAACTCTTCTTCAGTCATAGAGCTTGGTGAAGTTTCAAACTGTTAAACACTGCCACCAACTGTTCAGGAGGATTGTTACACCCCTAAAGGTTGTTTCAATGTGTAAGGGATGTGAGCAGGGTGGCCAAAGATTTGTCTATGGTGGCCATGGCCATCCCTGGCTCAGTTGAATCACATCCATCCCCAGAGACCTACTGCCACAGAGATCAGGCCCAATTATTAACAGGAGCCACTGACTCAGCTTCCTCCATGGAAGATGTGAACAAACCAGTCATTAGGTTCAGGGGACAATCACTTTTTCACACAAGGCCGTGTAGGTTTGGGTTTATTTAAAGATCTTAATTTCAAAAGTGCACCTTGTGTTTACTTATGATGTCCAATAATGACCTGAAACATTTCATTCCACAAATAATAAGAAATCATGAAGGAGCTAACATATTTTCACATCAATTTATACATGACGAAGGTTCTGGTCACTCAGGACAGACCCACACCAAGTGAGGACGGACATATTTATGATCCGATGAGGACAGAACACACATCAGTCTGGGACTGAGCTGCTTTATGGATGAGGCTAATGTGTTTGTTTGCACTGAAATGTTATGGAGATGGTTAAATATTTGTAAGACTATATCTGACACAAAACCTACCAAAAATGTTATTTTTAATTAAAATGCTAAAATTCCATGAATGTAAACTACAGAAAACCTGCTCAAAATCCTTTTTTTATTCAAAAACCTTTTTTAATGAGTTCAGCTTTCATTTTAAAATAAAAAGGTCTAATTGTTAAATGATTTGACTTAATGTTCAGATTTGTGTTGGGTTCTGTGTTTTTAAAGCTACAAATAAATCTATAACTTTCAGGATCGTATTTCCTGCTGGAAATGTCAGGCCTGTTCAGCTTTTCATGATAAATTTAGTTTTTTGTTAATTTAAAACCAACTGAAATTAAAAAAAGTTCATAAATCATCCACAAAACATAGTTCTAAGTCTGCCAGCTGTCAATCAGGTTTATTTCTGAAGTTAAATATATATATATGAACAGATTTTTGGTGTTTATTTTATTCAGTAACTCTGGGTTCTACACCTGATGTTAAAAGGAAAGATACAAAGTTTGTAAAACATCTTTATGATGCTACTTTATTGTTCTGAACCATCTTGGTGAAGTATTTTTGTATCTGTTTGGACTGGATCCCATAAATGAGCGGGTTCAGGCAGGCAGGGATGATGTGAAACAGAACCGAGGACATTTTTCTGACAGAAGCTAACTCAGGAAACCGATGCAGAATAATAACAAGCAAACCACTGAACAACATGATGACATAAACAAGCAGGTGGGTGCTGCAGGTCTTTAAGGCTTTATTGTTCGTGGACTTGTTCTGATGGGTCAGACAGACCACAGTGATCTTGAAGTAGGTCAGAACCATGCTGCCGATGGAGGAGGTGAACAGAACTGCTGTGAAGCTGAGACCGTAGATGTTATTAACGGAGACGTTCTCACAGGAGAGCTGAAACAACGCAGCATTGTTACAGAACATGCTTCCCATAAAAGTCCTGCATCGGCTCAGCCGGACGGTCAGACCCAGCAGAACCCCTACCAGAACCAGGGACACCCCCCAGGCAGACACCGTCAGCTTCATCAGCATCTTGTTGGTCATCACTGCAGCGTAACGCAGAGGGTTACAGATGGCCATATATCTGTCGAAGGCCATGGCCATGAGGGCAGTGTGGCACGTTGTCCCATAAACATGCATGATGAAGGCCTGAACAACACACTCATAATAACCAATGAGACGCTCCGATCGAGGCCTCAACATGTCCACCAGCAGAGAGGGCAGCACGGCTGATGCTCCGAGGATGTCGTTAATGGACAAGTTACAGAACAGGAGATACATGGGCTCATGCAGGCTCTTATCTATAAAAATTAAAAGAGAAATACTAACATTTAGTATCAAAATAAAAATGTAGGAGAAGAGGATAAAAATAAATACGGGGTGAAGGGACTCCTGTGAGACCAGTAAGCCTTCCAGCTGCAGGATGAAGCTGTTGTAGGTGTAGCTTTCCACCGAACTGAAACAACAAAATCATCTTTACTTCACAGGAAGTCTTTCTGTCATCAGCCACAGCAAGACTTTTCAGTTTCAGTACAAGCTCCAGTCAAGATCAAAAAGACAGTAAAAATCAAAAAATCAATACTTGTTTGTGTTGACTCTCATTCCCTTCAGATGAAGTGTGAGGCTGCTGTAAGGATACACATCCATCCTAGTCTGAAAACAAGAGAAGCAAATCAGACAAAAAACATTTGTTTCTACTTTTCTGCACGATGAAAAACATTTACCTGTAGGCAACAGAAAACTTTCTGTTGAATCACGAAGAGTCGGTGTCCTGTCTGCAGCAGGAAGAAGTGTGAGCTGAGCAGACATCAGACTGCTCTTCTCTTTAAACACTTCAAACACACCAGCTGAGCTCAGACGACAACAACAACAACAACACACCATGGAGACAGAACGTGTTCTGGGATAACTGTCAAAATGAGTTAACAAAGAAACTAATACAAGCACACACACACACACACAATTGACTTTACCATTTACACGGTCACAAATACATAATTTTCCCACTTTACGTGGACCGACAAACACACAGCTGTGTTCACCTATACATATGGGGAAATTCCATTGACTTTGATCAATTTCTGCTGCCTAATCCTGACCCCCTACCCTATCACTAATCTCACAGGCAGTGTTGTACAAATTACCACAAAGTTATACGCGAGTAAAAGTACAAGTATCTTATCATAAAATTACTGTAGGGGTAACCCTGGTGAAATAAACATTTCTATTTTTTATCTTTGATTTTGCTTTTACACTTATAAGAAGAAAGTCATTTTAAAGTTTGTTTCTATTTTCTCTAAGTGAATAGAAAAATATGTTCTATATGTTTTCTTCATTTAATCTTCTATTAGAGGTTATAATCAATATATATCATTACTCAAAGTTTTATTGAATTAATCTTTGCTCTCTCTTTATTCCAGAGTGTAACACTGTGAAGAAAAAAAGAGTTGAAATGTGTTTTACTGTTTTTTCTTAGTACTGGTTTATTAATCATGGTTTTATCATTTTTCTTAATTGGTTTAATGATTAATTATTGTGTACTATTAATTTTTACTATTAATCCATTTGTGCAAAGTGATGGATGTGATTTATAACCTCAGTGAAGTGATTTATAAGTACAGTTTAGTCTGTCTTTTCAGACTTTCAAGGTCCTTTTGCAGATAACAACCCACAGCTGGCCGCGCCAGTGTGAGAAAAACAGATTGTTTTGTTTCTCGCTCTTTTTTCTCTAAAAGAACTAACTTTCTGTTCTCACCGTTGACACTTGTCTTGTCTGTTCGTCGGAGTAAGGATGGTTCTGACTGGGTCTCTCTGAAGTGCGTGTCCGTCTGGGCACCTGTCTGGATGGGAGTCTGATGTTACTAACCTAATTTTACTGCCGAGAAGCGACTGAGACCAGCGCCGTGAGCCCTGAGGCTCGTTAGGGGTGAGATGAGGGTCTTCTCAACCCCCTGATGTCAGGACAGACATTATCTATTCTGCGGACTTCGTGATCCGACACTCTCAGACCTTTCTGCCTGCCGGTTCGGCTCTGTCTGAAGACGTCTAAAGGTAGAACAATGTTTGCTGAGATAAAACGTCGAAGTGGAAGTCTAGCCACGGAGGTGTCTGGTCTCTGACATGCTGTGGTGCTGGTCTGGTCTTATTTATGGAGAACAAGTGCTAAATTCACTAATTTCTTTTCCTCCTATCCTTAAAGCTATAAATCTTTACTATCTTTACTCTCTTTTTACTTAAAACTTAGTTAAGTAGCGTGCCAGTAAGTTACAACACCTGGAACTTACTGTTTTTGACAACTCTGAGGTGGAATTCATATGTCGAAAATATAACTTGTGTTCATTTATTCATATAATATTTTTAATAAATGTTTGTGTGTTTAATCCTGTTCATATATCTAAAAATAAATTACTTTATTTTGGAAATATGTTCAGGTCACAAGTTTTCATTTCTCATTCATGGTCAGAGTGGGTATCTTCATCAGTGTCTGGGATTTCATAATGCAAAGATCTTGAGAGATTATTTTAGGAAATTGGGCTGGTCCTAATTTCATGGGGTGGTCTCTTACATTACTTTGGTACAAGTTAAAGTCTCCTCTAAGAATTACTTGAGTAAAAGGTCTTAAAGTATCTGCTTTTTTTTGTACATAAAGTGTCAAAAGTAAATTTCTGACATAAAATGTACTTGAGGATTAAACGTAAAAGTATTGAGTAAAAATGAGAGGTTACATTTTCCTAAAACATTTTTTAAAGGCATGAAGCCAAACTAATGTGTGTCAGAATGGTAAATATTTATACTTCTCATCCAACTGCAATTAAATTCAAAGGCATAGTTCATTGGGATAGATTTTTTAAACAATAATGAGACAAAATGAAATAGGAGTAATGGTTTTCTACTTCTTACCTTTTCTAAAATGTAGGGAGTAGAAAGTAAAAAGTAGGCTAAAAATAATTTACTCAAGTAAAGTACATATATCCAAAATTTCTACTTAAGTACAGTAACAAAGTGTTTGTACTTAGTTACTTTACAACTCTGCTCATAGATACCTGACCCTAAACCTAACCTAAATCAACCACCCCACCCCCACCCACCCACTAATGACTTGAACCAAACAGGGACTTGGCTTAGGGCACCATATGTTCCAGTGGTCCCCACTTGTAGGTGTTGTGTCTTTGAACGGTCCTCATATGTCAAAAAGCCGTACACACACACACACACACACACACACACACACACACACACACACACACACACACACACATATAAACATTTCATAATTGTAGCAGTCGTTTTAA